TTTGTTTGCTCGGAGCTGGTTCCCATTCTGCCCCAACCCCTTTGTTGGTGGCTCACTGTGAAGTCCATCCCTGTCCCCTCAGGATCTCCCTTGATTTCCGTGCCGACGCGATCCATAAAACAGCACATGGCGAAAACGTCCCCGGCGAGTCCTTTCTGGAAGCTCTTTGTGAGGCTTTCCCCGGGGAATCGGCCGTGGATCGAGCGCTGAGCGTGGCTTTGCTCCCAGCCCTTCTTCCTCCATTTGATCTCGGGCTCTTCTCCCCGGGGCTGAGCTTTGAAGCGGCGCTGGCAGCGGGGCCCTCCCTGTTCCTCCCGCTCCGCTCGCGTGCTCCTGGCGCTGCTCCGCGGGCTGCAGAGGGAATATGGGATGTGGGGATGGGATATGGGATATAGTCTGTGACATATGGGATATGGAGATGGGATATAGTCTGTAATGTATGGGATATGGAGATATAGAATATAGTCTGTAATGTATGGGATATGGGGATGGGATATGGAATATAGTCTGTGACATATGGGATATGGAGATGGGATATAGTCTGTAATGTATGGGATATGGAGATGGGATATAGTCTGTAATGAATGGGATATGGAGATGGGATATAGTCTGTGACATATGGGATATGGAGATGGGATATAGTCTGTAATGTATGGGATATGGAGATATGGAATATAGTCTGTAATGTATGGGATATGGAGATGGGATATAGTCTGTGACATATGGGATATGGAGATATGTCTGTAATGTATGGGATATGGAGATATGGAATATAGTCTGTAATGTATGGGATATGGAGATATGGAATATAGTCTGTAATGTATGGGATATGGAGATATGGAATATAGTCTGTAATGTATGGGATATGGAGATATAGAATATAGTCTGTAATGTATGGGATATGGGGATGGGATATGGTCTGTAATGTATGGGATATGGAGATATGGAATATAGTCTGTGATATATGGGATGTGGAGATGGGATATAGAATATAGTCTGTAAT